CCCCCCCCCGACCAAAATGAGCATTTAACCCTTGCAGTGCAGTGGTAGGCTCACTGCAAGGGTTAGTTTTGTAACTCCCGGAGTTCCTGTTCAAAGAGCAGGGCATAAAGACTTCCTAACGGGGCAGACCATCCCATTTGCACCCTCAGGAGGATATGAAGGCATCCTAATAGGGCAGATCATCCCATTTGAACCCTCAGGAGGGGATAAAGATTTCCTAATAGGGCAGATCATACCCACTGCACCCTCATGAGGAGATAAAGACCACCTAATGGGGCAGATCATCCCATTTGAACCCTCAGGAGGGGATAAAAATTTCCTAACGGGGCAGACCATCCCATTTGCACCCTCAGGAGGATATGAAGGCATCCTAATAGGGCAGATCATCCCATTTGAACCCTCAGGAGGGGATAAAAATTTCCTAACGGGGCAGACCATCCCATTTGCACCCTCAGGAGGGGATAAAGACGTCCTAATAGGGCAGATCATCCCCACTGCACCCTCATGAGAAGATAAAGGCCACCTAATGGGGCAGATCATCCCATTTGGACCCTTGGGAGGGGATAAAGGGCTTTCTAATAGGGCAGATCATCCCCACTGCACCCTCATGAGAAGATAAAGGCCACCTAATGGGGCAGATCATCCCATTTGGACCCTTGGGAGGGGATAAAGGGCTTTCTAATAGGGCAGATCATCCCCACTGCACCCCCAGGAGGAGATAAAGGCTTCCTAAAGAGGAAGATCATCCCATTAGCACCCTCAGGAGGATATAAAGGCTTGCTAATAGGGAAGATGATCTCTGGTGCACACTCAGGTGGACATAAGGGCTTACTAACGGGGCAGATCATCCAATTGGCATCCTCAGGAGGAGATAAAGGCTTCCTAATGGGGAAGATCATCCCCACAGCATACTCACTTCCTCTGATGCTGCTTCTGCAGGGTGGCCCCTGACTGCTGCCCCTGGAGTGCAAGCCGGCGCTCTTTGTCTATGTCCCCTTCCATGCGTGCAAAGGCGTGTGAGCCAATGAGGGACAAGTCATGATCCAGCCCCTCGTCTTCATCTGTGTCATCTGAAAAACACAAATAATTTAGCTCTACCCAAAAGATATTCTTTGGGAGTGTGGAAAGGTTACAATCCCCGTTGAGTTTTTTTTGCTGTTCGTGTCTTCACTGTGGAGAGTCTCCAGGACAGAAAGTGCACAGGGGTTCTTATCAGTCTTTATTATAGAGAAGGGGTAGCCAGCTGTACAAATCCCATCATGCATCTGCCTCTGGAAGCCATGCCTGTGGCTGTCAAGAATCTTGCAATGCCCAATGGGATTTGTGGCTTCACAACAGCTGGAGGGCCGGTGTTTGCCTACCCCTGTGCTGGAGATACACTAACATTTTAGTTCAATAAGTTTTTATTAAGGGTTTCATAAGACAGAAAGATAAACACTTGACATACAAAAGCAAAAATCAAAGTCGCTGTACAACAGTAATGCATACAAAAAAGATCCAAAGTCTCGGAACACAGTCAGGAATATACATCTCCGGGCCAGAGGGTCTAGGATAGAGGAGGAACATCACCCGTATGGGTCTCACTATGTTTTGCCACTTTGTTGCCCTTATGACCGACCCTCCTGCTGGGGATGGCCCAGGAGATAGTGTTCAATTAGGGGCGTATAAGCCCGGCCCGGTAGTTACTGTGACCAGACTAACATGTAGAAGAGAAACCTTCCATTAGGGCAGACCATGCACTGGAGCAGTATAGTCAGATATCAAAGGAAGGAGACCACCAAGGCTGAAAGAAGCGAGTGGGACAAAAAGAGACATAGGAGAAAACAGATAGCTGACCAGAGGAAGGGAGGAAAAGGAACAGGAAAGCTAAGTAATGAGAAGGGAAGGTGAGGAGGAGCTGAGTTCAGAGACAAGTCAGTTCAGAGAGGAACCCAGGGCCAGGCGAGCCCTGTCTACGTCCCACCCAGACCCCCGTCAGAGTGTCCTGGGCCCCTTGGAGAAACCCAGAATGCCTAGGGTGTAGAGCAGTGGGGACAGTGGGCACCCCTGTCGGGTACCATTTGAAATTTTAAACCTTGTGGAGAGGGAGCCGTTTATCCGGACCCGGGCTGTCGGGTTAGAATAGAGGGCCATAATGTTGCGTATGAGCCGGGGCCGAATTCCAATCTGCAAGAGGGAGTGTCGAATAAATTGCCAACTGAGTCTGTCGAATGCCTTATCAGCGTCGACCGATAGGAGGCACATTGGAGTTTTGGAAGTCTGGGCATGTTGCATGAGCAGGATGGTTTTAATGGTATTGTCCCTGGCCTCTCGCCCCCGCACAAACCCAACCTGGTCAGAGTGAACCAAGCCGGGGAGTATAGGTTGTAAACGATTGGCTATCAATTTGGAGAAAAGCTTCAGATCCACATTAATGAGCGATATGGGGCGATAATTAGTACAAAGGGTATGATCTTTTTCAGGCTTAGGGATCAGGGAGATATGTGCCTCCAACGCCTGAGCCGGAAAGTCAGATCCCAGTGCAATAGAGTTAAAGACCCTAAGGAGAAACGGAGATAGGAGATCCTCGTATTGTTTGTAGAACTTGGCAGAGAACCCATCCGGACCTGGGCTCTTGCCCGCCGGCATAGAGCTAAGAACACAATGGAGTTCCCCTATGGTGAAGGGGGACTCCAAGTCTTCCGCTATCGAGTCATCCAGGATAGGTAGGGCAGTATCTTGCATGTAGGAGGACAAACGAGCCTCCCGATCCGGGGCATTTGGTTCGATCTCAGGGATGTTATATAGAGATTCATAGAACTCGGCGAAAGCCCTCTGTATCGCAGAGGGTGAGTGCTCCAAGACATCCGCAGACGATCGAATCTGCGAGATGAAAGTGTGA